CCATCCTGGCTTGTATCAGGAATAGTGTGGCCAGCAGGACCAGGGAGGTGATCGTCCCCCTGTACTTGCACTGGTGAGGCCGCACCTCGAGTACTGTGTTCAGTTTTGGGCCCCTCACTACAAGAAGGACATGGAGGTGCTGGAGCGTGTCCAAAGAAGGGCAACGAAGCTGGTGAAGGGTCTAGAGCACAAGTCTTCTGAGGAGCGGCTGAGGGAGCTGGGGTTGTTTAGCCAGGAGAAAAGGAGGCTGAGGGGAGACCTTATTGCTCTCTACAACTACCTGACAGGAGGTTGTAGTGAGGTGGGGGTCGGTCTCTTCTCCCAAGTAACAAGCGATAGGACGAGAGGAAATGGGCTCAAGTTGCGCCAGGGGTGGTTTAGATTGGATATTGGGAAAAATTTCTTCACCGAAAGGCTAGTCAGGCACTGGAACAGGCTGCCCAGGGGAGTGGCTGAGTCCCCATCCCTGGAGGTTATTGAAAAGACGTGAAGACGTGGTGCTTAGGGACATGGTTTAGTGGTGGACTTGGCAGTGCTAGGTTAACGGTTGGACTTGATGATCTTAAAGGTCTTTTCCAACCTACACAATCTGATGATTCTATGATTCTATAGGAGACATGGCATAGTAAGACACCAGGATCTTCACCTATTTCATATAACTGACAAAATGAAGGGACAACCTGAATACAGCCTGTGAGCACCTGCACAGTAACAAAATTTGGAAGACTGCCTCAAATTCAGCAGACAAAGGTTTAACAGGATCCAGTATCTGGAATTTGGAGCTAGGCATATTCAGATCAGCAATAACAGGGACCTTTCTAAGGGAAAGGGCAGGCACCATCTCAAGAACCTCCCTCTAGTCATGCTCTGTGGAGGTTTTGAAATTGCTGGCAATTTTAATTTTAAAAAAAGGTTATTTTTTTTCTAAAAGAAAATGCTGGGAAGCCACTGGCCTGTATTACACACCAGATCCAGGACTCTTATCACATTGCTTTCTCTGGGTTTCTGGAGCTGAATTCAGATTCCCTTGAAACAACTCAAGGATTCTGGGATCTGAGTACCTTGTGCTTTAATTGATGTCATTGGTATTACAATTATACTTTCCTCATCCTTCTGACCTTTTCCCAGGAAACGCATTGTTACAATATCTAACTTCCATTTTTAATGAGCACGGAGATGTTAGTATGATTTTATTATACCCATTTCGAGGAGTTGACTAGGGAGGAACAAAGCAGTTCTGGTTGCAACTAATGAACTTTTTGCTCCAAACTGAGCCAGAACATTGATCTTCTGGGGAAGCTTGAACAAGTTCGGTTAACTTCCCACTGCTCCTTTCAGATCCTTCTACTTGCCTAAATGGTTGCTGTTGAACCTGGCACCAAAAAATCAAAGCTTGAGAAATCTTGCTTTCCAATACTAGCAGGTCTGCAGGGATTCCCTGCCCCTGCCTGGTTATCTCTGGGCAATGTGTGGATTTGTTATGTCTGAGCAAGAGTGAGTGTCTGGGAATAACACCAGTGAGCTAGTCTGTTCTTTCTCTCTGCAGTGCCTACACTGAGCCCTACAAGGTGTGCCCAGTCTCTGTGATACCGACGGAGGTCGTGACATCAGATGAGGAACAGAAGAGTTCAGAAGATGACGAGAGCAGTCCGGGCGATCCCAGCCTCATCAACAAGGTAAAAGCTAAAAATGGGGAATGCATGAAACCTGAAGAGGGAGAAACAATTTGCAGAAGAACCTGGATTCTCAGCTCTCTCTGTTCTTTGCCTGGTGCTCATTTAGAAATGTAAGAGCCATCAATCCTTTACTCCCCCAGTGCACTAGCAACAATTTGCCCATAGAGCATGTGGCAAAGCCAAAGAACTGCAGTCCTAAGATGGACAGTGGAGGCAACACAGCCAGCAGGAAAGGCCTGACTTGAATGTCAGGAAGAATGTCTCGCTCAGAAGAAGGATTTAGCTGCTATCTATCTTGAGAATTTTAAAACTACATTGAATAAAACAATGACAAATACATTACTGGGACCAGTTCTGCACTGGCTGGTAGATGGAGTAAATTATCTAATAGGGCTCTGCCATCTCAAAATTCTCTCATCATGGGAAAATGCACTCATGTTTGGGTTTATTTTACTGACTTCTGATGAATAAAACAGCTCTTAAACAGATTATGGAGAAGACCATGGAAATGTAACCACAGCTTAAGGCCACACAAGGCTGTTTGAACCTCCAGTGAGCTGCCTAACAGTGCAGTTGTTAAAGAAATGGCACTGAGCAGTTCTAGGCAAAAATTTATCTTTGTTTTTCACAGATTTTTTGTGCGTGTGTGTTCTTAAAACCTAATATCAGCCTAACAATCTAATGCTTTATCTCTGAGTACAAGCACCCACTGCATAGCCCATTTGGTATGCATGCAACAAAAGGGTATGTTCTTCTGAAGTCTCCCGATTTGAGCCCTAGGAACTAAGGCTGCATAGGAAAACAGCAAATCCTGATTTCCTACACCTCGCTCTGCCATTCATTTTGGCCTGGTCTCTCAGTGTCAGCACAGCTATATGGCATCCTGATTGTAGATGACTTGTGTCTGGTCATGGGCATGTGTCAGAGCCTGCAAAAGTCTGTGCAGATGCCCCTCCGAAACCAAATGATGGCTGAATAAAGGTCAAGTCTGTCAAGGAGAAGCATAAGTATATTGATTCGAGGAAGATCAGATCTCTTCAGGCATTTCCAGAATGTGAAGCTTTCTTTAGGGGCAGGTGTAGAGAGAGTGGGGAGCAGAATTTTCCCCTTACCAAGGACACTAGTTCTTGAGAAACAGAAAAAGAAACTGCAAGCAGAATGACAGCGAAGGGCAAATGAAATTGCTCTTGCTCTGATCTCCGAGGGATTATAGCATCCTTTGATTTCCCTGTATGCTGTATCACTTTTAGGTCTACCTTGCAGGGTGCTGAGCTGCCTCTGGTACCAGTGGAAAAGACTGTGGTTTGATCTCTTTGCTGACATGAAACAAATGAAACAATTGCAAGCAACCTTATCTTTCTTCCTCTGAGATTCATGAAATTTTTTTGGTTGTTTGTTTTCACACTGTTTTGGAAAGGGAAAAGCCTTTAAATTCTGACATTCCCTCTTAAATGAAAAATATTTTTCCTTTCAGTTGTATTAGTTAGCTGACAAACCACTAGCGTTTATAGAGCATACACTAGTGTGTTATCTAAGCTGGTCAGGTTTCTCAGCATCTCTTAGTTGTGATGCCAGTGGAGGTGACAACAAAATTGTGACTTGAGTTCACAAGGGAAATGCATGCAATCACTATGCACTTGGAAGCAAATTCAAGGCTGCTAAAACCAGTTTATTGCCATTTTTGTAGGGTTTACTCAAGACACTAGGAAATGATGGTTTTCTAAATGGCTTCCTTATTGCATCTCATGCATTTTAATTGTTCTGTTGTGCTGGGGTTACCACACTGTGTAGCTGTCGTAGGAGGCGGCAGCACTTACAGAACAAGCAAGTGCTTCAGAGTCTAACTGGCGGTATCCCTCCCACTCTTCAGGCAAATACAAACTAAACGTCTGCACGTGCCTGACAGAGAACATCAGAACAGGTCTGGTTGTTTGGCTGGCCTTTGCTTCCCAAGCTAATTGTCAGCAAGGATCACAGTAGACAGGACCAGACTTCCACAAGCTCCTGGGGAGCTGTCTTAAAACAGCTCCATTTGAGTACAGGCCATATTTCCAAGCTGGCTGATGAATTAGTGCACGTGGCTATTTACCCTGCCAAGAAGCAGGCCACGAAAGTAGACATAATCTGATCTGCCTGTTATAATTCTGGCTGTAGGAAGATTAGCCGCTCTGCAATCTACTGGGCTGTAGCTACAGACTCTTTAAAAAGAGATTGGAGCAGCAGTAATTTCATCCCTGGATAAGCCATTTGCTTGGTAAGCCAGGTCAGGGGGCTATGCTTGTATGTGGGACCAAGAAAAGATCTAGAGATGGGAAGTGGCACTGAGACACTTTTGAGTGTCTTTGTTCTTGTAGCCCCGCTAGGGCAGGCATCACTTTGGGAAGACTAAGGGGGTCCTGGGGAGCATCCCGTCCAACCCCGTGTGTCCCAGCTGTCCCCAGGACCCAATCTGTTAACGGAGATACCTGATCTGGGCAGTCAGAGGCCATCTAGCATCAGGACTCTCTTGCCACTCTGTAGCAGCCTCAGCATCACTGCTGCAGGCTGTGTGAAGCAACAATCAAAAGATGGCCAGGGAAGACCCAGTTTTCTAGGGAAAAGTCAGTGCCAGGTTCTGACATGAAGGATGCAATATATTTAACTGTTGTCTTTTGCCCATGCCAGCCACAGAATAATAGTGATATGGGAATCTTCCAAGGTCTCATGCGGCCCACGCTGCAGATTCTCTGTCAGAGACAAGGGCTTCCAGTTCACTGTAATTAAGAGTGAATGGGATAAATTCCATCTGTCCACAGCTCTTGTCTCAGAAAGCACTGGTGTCTTTACAGAGGACTGACAGAGGACTGTTTCTCCTAGCCTATTGCTCCTGCCTCTTTTTATTGTCTTCTCACGCAAATCTTCTGGGTGCCAAGGGAACATTAGCTGCCCTGTCAAAACCTGTCCTGTAATGACAAAGGGCAAGGAACTTGTCCAGCTCCCTGATGAAGCGATGTATCCCTTGGAGCAAAATCCTCAGGACAACACAGAGTGGCTGTACAACATTAAAGAGTTCAGAAGCACTGTCACTTGGGGAGAATTGGCAGAGACATGTTGGTCTGGATGCCAAAAATAGTACCACGGGTTTCAAAATGAGCTAATCTTGTTAAAACAACTGTTTGGGGCTGGCCTACTAAGAGCTGAATTTGGATTTTAAAAACCACATATGCACACACAAAAAAAACCTTCTCGGGTTTGTTGGTTTGATTCCTGTTTTTCTCCTCCTCAGGGAAACTTGGTTTAAATAAAGGCATGAAACAGCCTAGATGATAAAATCTCCTCCCTGTGTTCAGATATATGATTTTTATTTGCATTGAGCTGGATTCCACCTGCTGCCTTTCACTGTTACGATTTAATTCCTGTACCAAAATGCAAGCAGCATGCTTTGGTTTTTCTCACCTGCTTTCTCCTAGCCTGCTTGCTAGAGAATCACAAGACTTTCAGTTTGCAGCAGAATTTTTTCCTCTGATGTTTCTTTTTAAGGCTCGTTTTGATAAGTAAATATAATATTAAAAATTAGCTTTGTACACACATTTCCTGGTATTGTTTCAACAGCTTGTCTCCTTTGAATCCCTTCTCTCCTGGGGACCAGATTCACATGAGTGTGGAGAAATTTTTAGGGCCTGCTGGAACCCCTGTTCTGTAAACAATTTGAATCATAGCCAATAATATATATTGAGGTGTTTTTTACATTGTCAGCTTTATTTTCAAGAGCAAACAAAGACGGGCTTTAATCTCTATTGTGTTACAGGAATTTTTATTACTAAAAACCTATTTGGAATGGGGCAGGTATAAAAATGTAAAACAGGAGGTAGGTTTCGAATTTTTGCCTTTATTCCACTGGGAGTACCTCAGACCCTGAGAAGCTCAGCATTTGTCATCAGAAGTCACCCGGTGGTTTTGATTCTTCTGTATAAGACTAACAGTGAAAATTCATTCTTTCTGGTTAAATAAACACTTTATTTCCTTCTCTTCAGTCTGCTGGCATATGATAACAACTTAGAGAACTCAGAGGCTGTAAGTTTTCTTAACCTTTGTGATTCTACCTGGTTATATTATAAAAAGCGATGCCCTTCACTTACACTACTGACGGAGAGTCGCTCTGTTTTTTTTCTCCTGCTAAGCTAATTTAGAAGAGCTCCTGGGCCATCTCTCAATCATATGTCTTTTATATATGTTCATTTAATTAAATCCCTCCTAATTTATCAGAAGGTGACACGTGGCTTTTCTGTAGTGGGCTCTCAAGGTTATATGATGGCATCTGAGCTGCCTAGAGAAAAAAAAAAATTGGAATTAGGGATTCCAGTTAGGAACAAAAAACTTGTATCAAATAAAATAAGGACTTTCTTTTTATCCGCCTTATTTTATTTGCCTCTGAACTTTCACTCGCTAGACAAATGCTCTAAGTCCAGGATGTAGAACCCCAGATTTTTCCTCTCATCGTTGAGCTGGATTCAAACCTGAACTTCGTGATTGTTTTTTACTGCTAAAACCAGATAAATCTGTCTTGCACCCACCCAGCTAATGAGCATTAAAGGAATTAAAGAGGAAGTGAGCTTAATGGTTCAGATTTGACTAGACACCAACTTCAAACTGAGTTCCCTTTGACAGAACTTAAGTTTTTGTAGCAGTCTCAGAATTTCCAGTTTTAAAAAGATCAGAAATAGAGACAATATAATCTTGAAAGTCTACTTTTGAGAAGCTCAGCTCCATGGTTTGAAATGGACTAAAATCAACACATGCTGGTAGGTTTCACCTATTGCTGGTTATGATCTGATTTTTTGAATTGCCTCGGTAGTTTGAGGAAGATGCTGCATATGCTGGATCATCAGCTACCCCTCCCTAGCTTGCACCTCTCATTTTAGTGTCAGAATCTTCAAGCAAGAGTCTTCAGACAGTTCCTTTCTTGTAGGTACTTTTTAAGACTGGATCTTCTGGCCAGTTGACCCCTTTTGTCACTAACC